AAAGCACCCAGATAGAACACAGCTAGAAGATGGAGATTAGAACCTAGGGAAAGAAAAGACAAATGCTCAGAGAGTGTCTCAAAAACAAAACAACAATAAAAAACAAAAGCAATACAAACAAACCAAAAAACATTTAGGTCAACTATCCCAGAGACCAAAGCAGAAAAGATTCAAAAAAGAGGAACAGTTTACACTGAGCTCCTCCTTTGCAGTGGAAAACAATAATTATTGCATCATTCTATAGGGGAAGTTTAGGTAAAAGTCTTATAAAGTTATTCAAATGAAAGCTACACAATATCCGGTTTTGCTTTCATTAAGATAAATCCTTATCAAGTCTTACTGTTGTTTCCAGTATTAGATTTTGCCAGCCAAGGGCTTCCTTTACCACGTGGTCTGAACAGTTTTGTTTTTCTCTTACTTATTTTTTCTAACACATAGTTCAGTTTCAATTCAGAGCCACTCTTGTAACATGAAGATAGAAGATTTCTTCAGTTTAGGCTTTCCAGATACATGGAAATGTCAATTCAACCAGACTGTAAGTTTTTATAGGACAGATATTAAGACCTTGCACATAAAAGAGACTGAATAAATATGTTTGGAAAGAATGAATACACTCCTTATATTTAAGTGCAGAGGTTAGGTTATCTAGTATTATAGTTGTCACTCATGCCTGGCAAATATGGAGCCCATGGCAAATATTGCTAATTGATTGTGGCAATTTGTCAGCTGAGCCCAGAGCACTGCAAGCAGCCACTGCCAACTACTTAGAGTTGGCCCAGATGACACTGCATCATTTCCCAGTTAACTATGTTAAACTTGAACTTTCAGAGCTCTCTGCTCATGTCTGCATGGTATGTGGCTAGCAGAGAAGCTGCCTACTAAGGGGACAATGAGCAGAAGCAAAGTAGTCAAAATGTGATGTGGCCTGTCTGTTTCACTTTCTATGTCCTTCTTCATGTCCTTCAAGAAAAATACAGGTTTTCTTAAGCTATTAATTTCACACATGCCTACAAATGTCATTTCAGATCAATTCAGAACACTGAATTACATAACACATTCATTTCAGATCTGTATCCATCACTGACCACCTCTGGTTAGACAGAAACCCTTTGTCAAACTGCCCTGTGAAACTTGAGATTTAGCTGTACATTTTAGGAAGATGAATCTGGCAGCAGTCTGGTCATTGCATGTTCCTGTTTAAAAATCCTTGGCTGGTTTCCCATTGTTTATGTATAATAGGATACAATCCCAACTCCTTCGCATGACATCAAGCTCCTTGCAATGAAAGGACTACTTCATTCCTCTTCTTTGACCCCTGCCCAGTATTCCATCCCACCAAATCCTTCTTTGTATGTGGCTTTATTTGCTTCCTACGGCACCTTTCTGTGGCACTTAAATCACAAACTTAGTGACTTAACATGCACATGTATTATCTTTCAGTTCTTTGGGTCATAAAGGGCTAATTGAGGAGTCATCAGGGCTGTGTTCATTCTGGAAGCTCTCAGGGAGCCTCGGGTTCCTTGCCTGGGCCCGAATTCCATGGTTTGTGGACCCCTTCTATCTTCAAAACCAGCGATGGCTTGTAGTCTCTCACATGGCATTACTGTGATGCTGACTTCTGCTTCCCTCTTTCGCTTATAAGGACTCTTGTGGTTGCACCAGGCCTACTGGATAATCCTGAAAAATCTCTCCTTCTCAAGATCTTCAACTGAACCACACCTGCAGAGTCCCAAAGTAAACATCTTGGGTGGGGTGCTATTATTCTAACTACCATAATGGTGTTCCTTCTGCCTCAAAAATCTACTTCTCTGCTTAGACGACTCCTGCCCGATTCTTTAGGCATTCCTTAAAGTCCTATGGAAATAGCACTATTTTCATAAGGCCCCTCCTCCTCCAACCCAAGGGGCACATTTTCATTCCTAAATCTCCTGGGTCCTGGGTACACCCACCTCTCCTGCAACACGCGCTTTGCACTAGAATGTATTTGTCCTCAAGCATGTTTCTCTGACTAGATTGTGAGTCACTATGTCTTATCCATTTTTGCGCCTTGGGGGCCTAACTATAAAAGATTGTGAAGGAGAAAAATGAATGTGATATTTTAAAGAGTAAAGACCTCAGGTAGAGGCAGAGGCAAGACCAATACATTCAAGAACCTCTGTTTTGAGCACAGTTGAAAAACTAGCTCTGACAGCTCTTAACTGGTAATTATCACATAATCAACCAAACCCCCTTATCTTCTAACCATTCCAGGGAGGTATTAGAGCACACTTAAAACCAGCCATTTGCATCTAAGGACATTTCTAACTTAATGTGATTTGCTAAGGATCACAAAATAGTGTCCAAGTTTTAAGTGTCCTTCTGGGCTTGGGCAGAAAAGGGCAGGCCACATAACAAGCGCTTGGTTAGATATTGAGTTAGGAAAGTGATATTTGTACATTTTATGAACTCCCCCCAAAATGACACTCATCTAACAAATCTGACTATACTGTGTTGGAGGTTAAAAGCAACTTTTCCACAATATTTATTTGGTGATGCAGTATCTGGAAGTTCTTGCATTAAAAAAAAGAACAGAAACTTCGAATTAAGCAAAGTTGAAATAGCCTCAAATATTTGAATTGCAAGCCAAAGATGGATTGAATACATTAAGATCATGTGATTGTGAATGGAGGAAGATCTATTTTTAAAGGCAATCGTTTGCTATGAGTATCTAATGTCACTAACGACACTATTACATATAGAAATCTAAAGACATGGAAATAAAATGAAAAATTATGGGATTAGCAGTTGAGCTGCAAGAACCCAACAGTTAGGCACAAAAGAGATGAAATTATTGCCTGTTTCCCAATTTGAATACAAAGTCTACCTTTCTATTTTTTCTTCATTAGCAATAGTAACACCCCTCTTCAAATCTAAATCCTGTTAATTTTGCTAGTTTTAGGTTAGGAGAATGTGGAGTTCTTGAAACCAAGAGGAGTGTTTAAATTTGTCTTTTGTTAAATTTCATTGTCTTTCCTAACTTAAAAAAAAAATTAGAATTTTTACATCCAGAAGGGGCCTATTGATCTGTATTAAACCTCACATTCACGAAGGGGAAACTAAGGCTTAGTTGCTTCCTCTCAGTCAGGAAAAACCCAAAGGTGAGTGGAGACCATACTAACTTCCACTTGGGAATGCAGCCTAAGAACAGTGGATTTGCTGTACAGGATAAGCTGTACATACATGAATTACTTCATGGCAGATTTTTAACTTGATGCATTTTTATAGAAAAGGGAAGCACAACTTCCCAATATTTATGTCGGGTTTTTCATATATCTCAGTTTTTCTATAAATGTATTTAGAACTACGTTTAGGACACCACCAACCAAACCAACCAAACTATTTGGCTAAAATGGAGGACTGCAGATCTAATTTGTAGAAAAAGAAATTATGGTGTTGCTGTTGTTGTTGTATGGTCATTTCAAGCCTTTCCTGTTACTAAATCTCAGTTAAGTACGGGTGTAGCATAGATAGACCCCACTTGGGGAAACATCCAGAGTAGTCTGGAATTACAGCTGGAGTCATCACAGACAAGAGCAAACATTAAAAGCTGTTCACAACCCAATGAAAAGTCAATGCACCTCGAAAGTCTATTAAGGTCTATCAAGAATGCAAACAACAAGTTTTGTAATAAGCTTAAATAAAACAACTGAACCCACTAAGTGGTACTTACGGAAACAGGCTTGAGAATATAGCTTTAGTTAGCAGTAGAGCTAGTTCCCACTAGAACAAAGATTGTTTACCTTGCTCTTATTAAATCCAATAATCCTAAGAGTCGTAATAGTACTAACTGTTTTAGGGAGAACCAACAGTAGAAACCCCGATGTGATCTACAAATTGCTTAAAAACAAAAACAAAACAAAACAGTAAAGCACCAACAAGAACTACGTTGTTCTAACTTACTCTTCTGAAAATAAATCTTCCATCTTGCATTTCATCCTGAACAATTTTACTATGATTAACATAGTAGCAGCTGAAAAAAAAGTGTCTGATTTAGAAACAAAAGTGAGAAACTTTACAAAAAACATTGCGCTTCTGCAACGCTAGGTTTCCAAGTTCTAATATAAAAACCAAGATAACACAAAATAAAGATTGCCACAGTAACCAAACTTTTCTGTAACAAATATCCTTAAAAAACAATGACAATTCAGCCATTACAGGTTATTTTCTACAGTGTGAGCAGATAATGGACCTGTAAACCTTCTTCTTCTTTTATTTTGCTAGCTTTCTTTATAAATCTTGCAATTTGCAAGCTCCAGTTTTTTGGAGGGGCAGACAGGTCACACTTAGAATAAATCGACTCTGCGATTACTTTGTTTTTTTAAGCCGATGATGCACGTTTCGCCTTTCCACACCATGAAGCAATTCGATGTTAACTTGCTATGGAGTCAAATGCGACAAACTCTGAGAGCTCCAGTCGCGTGGCGGCGGCTCCAGGCACCCACAGCTTCCCGCACTCCTGCAGCATCAGGACGCAGCGCTCTCCGGGCTCCAGACCCGAAATCCGCACTCAGGGCCTTTGGGGCCGGGAAGGTACACCCTCCCCCAGTTTCGGGGAAACTGAGGCCCGGTGACCGGAGCGACCTGAAGTCTGTAGAAGGCTCGCGCCGCACCTCGGCGTCCCCTTCCCCCAGGAGACCTGGGAGGCTCCTCCGCAGCGCCTGGTAGACTCTACGCTCCATAGCGGTAGGAGATTTAAAGCCCGAGATGCGGCTGTTCCCAATCCACCCGGCCCCTGGATCCTGCCGGACACGGATCTCCAAGCATCCTGAGATCCCCAGGAGCCTGCTGCCGGGATCTCGCTGCGCCTCCCAGTGCTCAGCCTGCGTCGCGGGTTCCGCCAGCCTAGGCTCCCGAGAAAGTTCCGCGGCCACAGCCGCAGCCACGATTCGACCGCCCACCCGGTGCAGGGCTCCCTGCTACCCGCGCCCCGCCGCCCCGGCTCTCCGGGTGCCCCTGCTGACCTGACGCCTCCGCGCCACTCAGGTGGCCACCGTGCGCCCCTTGCCATGGCCAGTCTGAGAACTGCCGCTTCGCCGCGCTCTGCACCCGACGCCCGACAGCACCAACTGCGGGCCCGCCGCCTCCGCGGGTGCCCAGCAGCGAAGCCGGCTGCGCTGCGGGCGGCGGGGAGTGCGGCGCTTCCCACCTACAGCAGCCAGAGCTGGCCGGTGCCGAGCATGCCCAGTGCGGCTCGCCGGGCGGCGCGGAGCCGGCGATGTGTCACCGCCGGGTTTTTGCCGCAGCCACGGGCTGGGGGGCGGTGCGGGGAGAACCTGTGGGAGTGGTGGATCCTCCCGCAGAGGAGGGCACAGGCTGAGGGTGCCAGGGAGTCCCCATTCAGTTCGCATAGCCTCTGGGGCGGGAGGGACTTCGTGGCCCCCCGGGCTCCGCTGCAGCACGCGGAGGTAATTAGGAGAGCGGAGGGCACTTATTTCCAATGCTGTCATTCTTGGACCGCGTGACTGATAATTGAGGGGCAGGGCGTACTCAGGGCCTCCACTGCAACTTTTCTGAGCGTCGCGTCGCACTGTTGCTCATGGACACCCAGGAACAGGTGTTTTAGAATCTCATCCTGGGACACCAGGGAGAACCGACCACCCCTGTCTCCAGGACCACCTGTCAAGCCACCTTGCGCTCCAAAGTTTCCCAGGCCTTCCCGGGTGACTGCTGTCAATTCTAAAGCCCGCACAGAAGAGGCTGGAAGAAAAGAGCAGGACGTTCACTGGTGGCTTCTGAGTGATGGGGTTCCAGGGATTTTAAATTTTATTTTTTGATTATTTGTAGTTTGTTTTTTTTCTAATGAACAATATGGTGTTTAAGAAAGGTGGGCTATGCTAAAACGCTTGCAGAAGTCTGGCCCTAGGAAAGCAGGCTACTCCTCCTTGCCTCCTCTAGGCCCTCCCCTTGGCCACGCCCCCACCGGTTCTTTCACTTGGGTACCTCCCTCTTCTCCTTTGGTTGCTGCCCAAACCCGGAAAGGTGGATTCCACACACGGAGGCTTGTGGCTCCTGCAGCCAGGCTGGGCATGTTCCGCGGCCAGGTCAGGGACTACTGTCAAGGAGAAAGCAAGCTTTAAGCAATTCCCAGTTTCTTTCCTTCTCTCTGTCCCTGGCAAATGAAACAAAATAGCTCCTCCGACCCCCTGCTCCGAGCAAGGACCGGCAGAAGTGGGTCAGGACTTGACTGAGCATGCTCTGGGCAGTGCCAGGCTGCTGCACGCGCCTGCATCGGGTTGCCCAAGGTTGCTGTAGCTGCTCTCGCTCATCATGACAAGGAAGGTCAGGAGACCGGTGGAAGCAGGGCCCTAGAGGTGCGCAATAGCCTCGACACGTGGGTAGGTCACACCTGCCGAGGTCCTTGTCAGGGGGTGAATGCGTGAGATTTGGCTTACAAGTGAATCAAAGCCTGACTTTCCCCTAAAAGACTGAAATTAGAAATGACATTTTGACTTTAGTTTTTATGGCATCTTGAATAACAATACATTTGAGCTTTTCAGCCTGATTTTCTTTCAGGAAACCTAAATTTTTCATTCTTTTCAAGTATTTAATAAGTGTACTTTATAGTTGCACTCAGAACACTAAATTTTCACCTGTTTTATCAAAGATTAAATCTTTGTCCTCACTCTCAAATAATTCTGCAATATTATATTCTTTTTTTTTCTCCACTCAGGCAATTCTGCATTCATTTTCAGACTCTCCTGCCTCCCTTTCAAATTCTCAGAGAAACTGCAGAATGCTCTTAAGGCTGGTGTGGGGAATGTGCTTTTTCTCTGTTACAGAAAAGAAGACTGAAATGGAGAAAGCTTACAGGGAAGAGATTTTTATAGGCTTGAGATGAATAATCTCAAGAACGCAGAGAGCCTTGCATTGAGCCCATGGAGGGGAGTGGGGTTGTTGTCTGTTTTGTCTGAGGAGGCAGAAGATGGGCAGATGGGTCAGCTGCTCAGTGAGGTTTGATGTGACAGTGTGAAATAACCCTCAGTGAGGGTTGGCTTCGTTTCAACCTCCTCCCGCCCCTGCAGCTCCAGTTCAGCTTAAGCATGTTGGAGACACCATGTTTGGTGGAAGGTGACTCCCAGGAAGAATAAATTTACTTAAATACTTCCCCCGCCCCAGGCTACTAACTTGGACTGGAGTCATCCTCATCCCTGAGCTTTCAGGTTCATTTTTTTGCTCATACCTCTGAGCACTACTCTTGAACTTGCCCAGATTCCGATAGACATCATAAAATAGTCTAGCCTGGGAAAGGATGGGTAAGACATCTCTTTAATAGTCCATACTACCACTGTACCCCATCTGAAGCTTCCTGGTCCCAAGTCTTCCATGACACGAACCTTTATTGGTTCTCTTACCCCTCTGATAGTCCTTCTCATCTTCCTTCTCGGGGTGTTTTCCCTTTGCACCCCCGTCCCCCATTGCAAGTGTTCTGTTGTGTGTCCCCTTCCCTTCTTGGCTCCCTGAGGGCTCTTGTTCACTTAGATGATTATTAGTACCAAGGTGGTGTTCAGGTGGCGTGTGCACCTATGGCCATGATAGTTGTTTATTGCTGGGTCTTTTCTGATCCATCTTGTACCTGTTCTGATTACCTGTCAGTGTCTATGCCTGACCATTTGTCCATACCAGTTGTTAATATTTTGAATATTATCTTTGCCCCCAAACCATAACTTCTTTTCACATCAGACCCTTATATGTAATCTACTTAATAGCTATCACCCTCAGGAAACTTGAAACCAGTATATCCCAAACAGAATTCAGGGACTATAGTTTCTCTTCTGCCTGTATGCCTAGCTTGGTTACTGGTAACCCCATTTTTTCAGTGATGCACACCACAAATATGGGTGTTATCCTAGGTTCATCCATTTGCCTTTCCCCTATCATCTAGCTAGTCACTGATACTGTCACCCTGTCCTTAGTCACCTCTCAATATGGACCTTCCACCTCCATCTTCCCTTTCAGAAGGATCCTCTCTCTACTCCCTCTAATTCACCCTCCCTGCCTCCTCAGACTTTTTTTTTAAGCAAATTATATTTCAATATGTCTGCTCAAAATCCTTATATGGATTCGTAGTGCCATCAGGATAAAGTCTAAGTTTTGAACATGAACAGGGCTCTATCTCCTTCTCCAGATTAGCCTCCAGCTGGTGTCCCCTAAGGTCCCCCTGTATCCTAGCAATATGAATTACTTGTCATGCAAATACATGCCTCCATGTTCCTTTAGTTCTTCTGTCTCTCTTTCCCCCTTGTTCATTCCTTGGCAAACATGTTCTTTAAGACTCAGTTCAAGCTGGGTCTCCTCTGACCTTCTCAAGGTGACTTCCTCTTGAATAGTTGCCCATTTTGACACCTAACCTTGATTTATTTTCCTTCATCTCCTCCACTGCATTGTAGGCACTGTGACCTCAAGGGTCAACCATCTCTCAACCATCTCTCAAGACCTTCTCTCAACCATCTTTGTGTCTTTGTCCTCAGTCCTCAATAAAATTTTACTTAATAAATGAATAATAGACATATGCACCCATATAATGTTTGAAGTATATTAATTTAAATTTTTTTCCCTGAGAATTATAAATAGAGTGCAAAGAAAAATATACCAGAATGGTCACATCGCATACAAACTGCTGAGTGGTTATGCTCCTGTAATATAAGGTTTGACCTTAAATTCAGTGATTTTCGTCAGCTTCAGAAGTTCAGAAGTGTTTTGTGAGCCAGTCGGATGTACTTGTTTTGTCAGTCTATAACTGCACAAAGCTCAGTATTGTATTGCTAATTAATCCACAAAGTCCATTGTTTTCTCCCATTGTGTTTCCATACATGGTGTAGCTATAACTTCCTAATTACATCGTTACTTCTTTTTTTTTTTTTAAGATTTTTATTGGGGAATTGGGGGGATGGGAACAGTCCTGGGGAATTGAAGGAAGGGGAACAGACAAGTTGCTGTCGTTTTGTGTTCTTCAGTCTAGTTGTGGAGGACGTTGCTTCACTGGCCCAAGTTGGCACCATCATTGTGCTCTTCCCGGGTGAGGCAGATCAGTCGCCGGCTTCTCCACGGCCACTCACTGTGGCTGCTGGCCGCTCACGCTGGCTGCTGGCTACATACGGTAGCCCATGGCAACCCACTGCCACAGGGGCTGCAGCCTACTCCGTTGCTGGCGACTCATGGAAGCCCAGCTCCAGGTTGAGCTGTTGTTCAGCATCTTAGCTGTAGAGGGCAGTGTCACTGGCCCTCATATGTGGGATCTGAACCGGGGCCCTCTGGTGTCCCAAGCCAGTTCTTAACCATCGCACCACTCGGCCGGCCCACATCGTTACTTCTTAGAATAGATTTTGTTTTTTGTTTTTTTTTCTGTTTAAAGTATGGCACTCTGGGAGGGTAGATTAACCATCTAGGAATGAACATAATGTTCACAGTTCTGCCAGCTCCCACTGTCTGCAGAGAGCACCTAGAGTTAACTGTGGAGGGACCCACCACCTACTTTAGGTTCACCTCAGATGAGGAATCCATTCCCCACCTCCTGAATAGATTGGTCCAGGGGCAGCAATTTTATTAAGCCCTCCAATTGATTCCACACACTATGCTTGAGAAACAGTTGTAAGTCTTATGGATAAAAGGAACAAAAAAAACAAAACTGTTACTCCAGAACTTCAGGTAGCCCCTAGCTTTTTGTTTGTTTGTTCTTTGGCAGAGAGATATACCGGGAGTGCCAAAAAAAATGTATACAGGGCCGGAGGAGTGGCTCAGTCAATTAAGAGCTTGCTCAAGAGTGCGAGCTCTGAGCAACTGCGGTTCGATGCCCGGCCTGAGCTGAGCTGCCACTGAGCTGCCAACAGGTGGCAGGATGGCTCAGCTAAAAAAAAAAAAAAAAGTATGCAAATGACACTTTGCTCAACGTTGCTGAAGCAGTAGTTCGCCATAATCAGAAGTGTCTACATGCTGATGGTAACCACTTTGAGCACCTCTTGTCATTGCAGAAGTCAAACATGACTTGTATTCATTCATCTTTTGTTATCGGCATATATTGAGTATTACAATTTTAATACAGTTTTCCTTTCTTAAAATCTGTATACATTTTTTTGGCACCTTCTGTATATGGATGGGAAGAGTATTGATCTATTTTAAAAAGTATGATCCTTGTTTGTGCTCCTTTAATAGCTTTGGCTTATGTTAAAGAGTCTGGGGAATATAACCAGAATGTAT